TGGAGAAACTGCTGCGTGGGTAGGCGACGGGATTATCAGCGCCCTCCTATGTTCGTCCAGGCGTATCTTCAATGGTCTCGCAGTCTCTCCCACATACTTCCTCCACATCCCTACATCGGACCAAATAGACTGTGCCTTGGAGTTCGCAGATCTTTCGGAAGTGCAGTATCACAATACTGCTCGTGGCACCTATCCTCGTATACCCGCGATGATGTGAGCAGGTCTCTGAGTGTGGGAGGAGGTCGAAAAACAAGACGAATTGGAAGCTGGGCATCTTTCGGAACACGATTCACCTCACGAGCCATTTTGTCGTTGACATATGGCATCTTGAGGGTTATCCCATCTAACGTTCTGTATGGTACCCAGGCTCCCAAATTTCCTTCTTGATACCCATTGCTTTCGAGGATGCTTTCAATTTTGGCATCCACGTCTGGGTCACTTCGCGTCCCTAGTTTCTCCTTTGTTTTCAGAAGATTTCGCACAACGTTTGCCTTCATATACGTTGGGTGTGCGCTTCTAGAATGCAACAATATGTTTGAAGAGGCACTTTTTCTGTACCACAGGTGTTCTTTGTAGCCGTTACTTATTCGCACTCTCGTATTCAGGAACGGTAGAAAAAAACCCCTCCCGGATCTTCTCTAGCAAAGGCTATATTAGCATCGTGTGAGTTCAGTCTATTTAGGGTTTCCACTAGATCTTCTTGCGTTGTTCCAATGAGAAACACGTCATCGATATATCGCTTGTAGAATAGAATTCCACTGGATAGTGATCACTTTTCGATGTGATCCTAAAATATGACTGCCAACAACGGTGCAATGCGGTTACCCATGGCTAGGCCTCTTTTCTGTTTATAAAACTTGTTACTGAAACAAAAATGTTGCATTCGAGCACTGCTTCAACGAGTTTCTTAATTTCGTTAGAGGAAAATCCCATCATCGACACGTTATCTTGATTTTCCTCGAGGAGTGATAATACAGCATTCACTGCGCCCTCGTTGTTCACGTTCGTATATAAGGAAACCACGTCGAAGCTCGCATAGAAGGCAGCCGTCGGAACTGGACACTGATGAAGGGATGACAGAAATTCATCAACGTTCACAATGTGTGCTCCTACGTATCGCGAAAGTGGCGCTAGAAGCTGAACTAGAAGCCAGCTCAGTCCGTCTGCCGGTCCACCACATGATGCGATAATCGGCCTTGTCACTTGCAGGGACATTGTGTCAGCCGTTGTTGGAATTTTATGTGTCTTCACCAAGTTATATAGCGTTGGCACTACTGGAACCATACCGTGCAATCCTTTTGCCATTTCCGAACTCATATGTTTCTTCACTATCGAGGTTGTCGCACTTTTAACTCTTCTACATACCGATTCGGACGCTGCCAAAGTACTTTGTTCATATACAGATGTATCTGAAAGCACTCGAACGGCTATAGCCTTATCCATCGTTTGAGGCATCACTACAAATGAGCCGCATTTGTCTCCCACAGTGTACCTTAATGCGGTTTTCGCGTCCAGCAACTTCTTTAGCCCTTTTCGCTCTGCTGGTGTCAAGTTACTGTGATAAGGCTCACTCATTGCGCTCCGGTAGATTCTTTGAATGTTGTGTTCTAAATTTGCTATTTTCGCATCGATGTCGCGTGAAGATGGAGGTATTTTTATGGATTTTCCTTTGAATGGCATCAACGACATTAGCGTCTCATGTTGATTGAGCGGTCATCGCGGGTATACGAGGATAGGTGCAACTAGCAGTATTGTCGATACTGCACTTCCGAAAAGATCTGCGAACTCCAAGGCACAGTCTATTTAGCCGATGTAGAGGATGGTGGAAAACTAATGTGGGAGAGACTGCGAGACCATTGAAGATACGCCTGGACGAACATAGAGGGCGCTGAATAATCCCGCCGCTTACCCACGCAGCAGTTTCTCCAGGTGGTACGTTAAGGCATACGAATGAGAACGCTCCATCTTTTTGAAGTTAGCGTTCTTCACAGACATATGATACGGCCCCTGGAGAGGAAAATCATGGAAGCGCGGGAGATATACCGCATCAAGCCAGAAATAAACGCTAAAGAGGAGCTACGTGACCTTCTGAAGCGTTTGACTTGATCAGCGAGCCCCATTTCCCTCTGGAGTGGCGTCTCAATTTCATTTTCAAGCCAACCCCGATAGGCCCCTCTTCTCCTTTACGTTTCTGGTATGTATCGATGCATGATGTTCTTTGTGTTGTAGTTGCTGTTATTGTAATGTTAAGGTTGGTCTGATGATGGCATTATTGCCGAAAGCTTACCAATAAATACAAGACCAAGAGCTTCAAGACCTAATCGAACACAATAACAATAGTAGTAATAATAATAATATTAATCTAATCCTATCAAACAACAGTACACCCGAGTATATCTTGTAGACTCCAGACATCAATATAATCATTATTAAGCTAATGCTTCGGCGACAGTCACCTTCTCCAGAGCCTGTAGCACATTGAAGAGTTATGCACAAAGTAGGTGGGCTGGGCCTTGAAAGGTAAAAAACATACATCAGCTGGGCGCTGCCCCCCCCTACAGTGGGCGTGGCGCATCGAAGCGAGTATAAGTGACAAACAGGATTTCAAATTGGACTCCAAAACATCCTAGAGACTGAGGAAAAAATGGGCAAAGGTGTGCTTTGATAAGCCGGCCGATAGTGAAGACCCACCTCCGATGGGTGAGGTGTACTTCAAAAGCAATGTTTTATGAAAACATTCTAACTTGGTTTTGTGAACAGCGGGCAGAAAAAAAACTTCTTGTAGGGGAGCCTAGGATGTTATCCGTTCAGGCGTTGGTGTGTGCTCCGCCTCTCAAGGGAAGGAGCGTGCTCTGAAATGCACAGCGGTTTCTACAATTCCTCAGAATTCGGCTCTTGAAGTGGGGAAAAGGTGAACATTGAACAGAGAGGGAGGGAAGATTAAATGCCAATGGGGGACGAGTCATACACCAAAGTGGGCGCAGTTTATTGCCAAACCAACACTCGGTCACAAAAAGTCCGAGGGATTTGGCAGAAAATGGATGGAATTGTTGAAGGAAATAAAGTGAATTTCCAATGCTGGACGGAGCACATACCAAAGTGGGTGGGGTCTGCCGCGAAGTATATAAAACCGCTCAGAGACGGTTTAAAGACTAGGTAAAAAGGGGCAGAGGTTGTCGAGGAAGAAAAAGATGGGTGGGACATAAACCGAAATGGGCAGGGTTCACCACAAAATTTAAATCGATTAGAGGCAGTCCAGAGACCTGGAAAAAGCAGTCAATTGTTGATGAAGAAGGTGTGATCAAAAGCACTCGGTGGATGGAGCACGCATAAGCGAATACAGCGTGGCCGAAAAGTAAAGGATGCGGCTTTGACCGCTTGCTGGCACTGAGCCGTGGAGTTCAGAGTGTTTCAAAACTCTTCGAAAGCTTTGAAACTATGTGAGAAGCACCATAAGTTGTTTGGTCCAAAATTCATTTGAACTCTCGCCATAAAGATTTTTTTACATCGACCCATTATTAAGGGGCTGCCCAATGACGGTCGCTGAAAACATAACATCGGAAAGCGACTTGGTATTCCCTCGCGTGTTGTTGTCGTAGTGAACTCATGACTCATGCCCACTAGTGATCAAATAAGGATCGCTTTGCTAGTGAGGTCACAGGATGATATTCCCCCAGAGGGCCAGACCTGCTTCTCGGTCATGGCTGGTCGGTGTATTTGGTTTCATCAAGTCTTCACTATGCTGCCGCCCACTTCATCCTGATGGCATGTGCTGGTGCATCGGCTGCGCCCAGTGTCTGTTACAATACTCTGGTAGTAGCATCCGTGTGCACTTCCAAGTCGTGGCGCAAGATGTCCTCATCGGAAGTAGTGGAGGCCCAGAAAGAGGCTGATTTCACAGATCGTATTGTCTTTGCCATTGCAACCGAACCTGCCAGTGACCGATCAGTAGCAGAGACTGGCCCAAACACAGCGCTGATTTTCACTCGTGTACTCCTTGCAAAAGCTTTTTTTTGAGAATCATAAAGCATAATCGTTCGTTATTGTCACTGATATATTTCGACTTGTAATTACAGTAGCGGTCAAAAGTTCGGAAACTTTTTTGTCTTTTTTTTACCTAGCGCGGCCAAGGGACAACGAAATTGTTCCTAATTTACATATTATATAGAAAACCATTGTAGAATACGATGTGCTGCATCACTTTTGGCGCAAGTCGCAGTTGAAAATTACGATTTTTTATAAGAAGCGGCGCGTAAAAAGTTGGGAAACTCCTCAGTTCTGACGCGAATTCACAACAGTAGCTCTTAAATCCATGTGGGGTATTACCAGGTTGTTGAGTAGATCGAAACTTCTGGCTAGCATCGTTTTTATTGTCATGAACGGATTTAAACATTATTTTAGAACTTTTGAGTAAAGCCTGCATGTTGTGAACTGAATCAAATTGCTTGGTGGGATTCTTCGCTGGAATGCGGCTTGCACAGCATGCCAGCCTTTTTTGGGGTGCAGAGCTCAGTTAGAATTGAGATCTTGACTTGGTATCTTCATAACGGCTTTTTCTCCTGAGTTTTGGAAGGCGGCCAGGAGGAGGTAGGCCCGCATCTGATCAATAGAAACCCATATTTTTTAGTTAGTTCTGACTATCGAAGAGATGCATTGGATTCGTTAGACCATCCTTGTCTTTGTCCCAGCCCCCATTCTTCTGAATACAAAGAATTGAAAAAGCGCCGAATGTTCGGACACATCGTCACCAATGACCATACTTCAACTCTTTCTGATTCTTGGAGTTTAATACCTAAAATGGGGATTCTATTTGACAAAACCCTCAAAAGGACCCACAACATCCTTTACAGGAAGGCAGACATATCAGTTGTCACTTAGCACAATTTTTTGCCTTTCGCCTTCGTTCCAGGTTAGGCGGTAGTGTGTGGAAGCTGGGAGGGTCATCTTGCTCTTGAAGGCCAACAATGGCTTATTCTCGGGTCATCTTCATAATATTCCCTAGGTGCCGCCGATGCTTACCTGCACTTGGACTTCCATTGGACTGAGATCGAAAACCCGAAAAATTAGTTTCTTGGTTGGGGATGTCGTTAGGACGGGACATGCCAACCGTCCCTCGAAGTCCTTAAGAAGGGTGAAATCTTTTGTGAGGGTGTTTTTGTGATATGTCATTCTTCTTATGCTTGCGCGACTCCAACAACGCTAGAAACTTTGGATAATAATGCATTCGTAGAGTTTTACCTAAATGGCAACAATTTCAATCTCGTATTCTAGCCTGTAGGTTTAAAAGACCTTTCCTATGGACATGATGTTTCCTTTTCACATGGATTCATTTCAAAAGTACATAACACTTGATAGCTACGCTAAAATTAATGGGAATATGCAAACATCGAATAGTGGGGATTTTAACTATGAGGGAAACAAAAAGTTTACAAACTTTTGACGCGGGATTTCCTTAAAAAATACGTATTTTCTAATTGTGATTACTTATTTCGTGGAACTATAATGCCTATCGTATTCAAGATTTGGATCTGTGAATACTAAGAAAATTTGAGACAATTTCGTTGTCTATTGGCTTTGCTAGATAAAAAATAAGAGAGTTTCCAAACTTTTGACCGCCACTGTAGTTATTCCCATGCGGATTCGACCTTCCACAACGTCCTGGCCAGCGATCTAGATGCACTCCTTGACATACCAACATATATTTCGTAAGACACTAATTCGACTTGAGATCAGAAATCAGACAGGAATTCTGAGACAACCCAATAAATGGCGAAGCTTGTCAAACAAGAACAATTATAGACCCATTTCTCAATCTAAGGCGCTTTAGTGCTGCAGTTCAAGCAAATTTCTCGTGTATCCAAAAACGACATTCTGTGAGAATTTAATATTCAACTCCATTTTTCTTTATCACTGATAAGTATTATTGTTTGCGTCGTGCATGAGTGTGGCTCAAAGCTTCAACAATGCACTTTCTTAACAACGGGCCTACACTAAACCTTGTCGCATTATGCCAGGAACGAACGAAGAACATAGAAAGTGAAAAAAAAGAGATTTACAGAGGCTAACGTTTAGGAGATTCACTATTGATTCACTTTTCAGCAAAGACCAGCGAAGCGTAAACTTTTCCTTTTCTTCTTCTCCCTGATGCCTAAGGATATAGACAGTGCCCACACCAGGTTCCGCGAGCGGCAGGTATGTTTCAAATTTCGATAGACATAGAAGGAATGAGTTGAGAAAGTCTACTTCAATCCTTAGTGCCTTTCATTTTTGTTGTGCAGCATTCATTGCTACATTATTCATTGTCATTTTCTGTTTTGGCTTCTTGAGGCTGCACTGCTATAGCTGTTAAAAGCAAAAGTCAGGCTAGTGTTTGGGCATTATGGCGCCTGAAATTGAGTGTAGAGATGGGAGGTGGAACGACAGTGAAGAAAAAACGCAAAGAAACCGTCGACAAGACCGAAATCGAAACCTCTTCCCTTCTAGCAGGAAGGAGGCTTGCTCGGGGAAGAGCCACGTCCGACCGAGTTTTCCGGATATGCCAGCCGTTCCATCGGTCCATCGGCAATCAACCTAGCTGATCTCACACGTCAGGCCAGCCACGCACCACATCCCGCGGTGGGCGGGACCAGCTGATGAAACGAACCCATCGATGTAAGTAGTAGGCCAGAAGCCTTGACGATGCGCAGTCTTGAATCAGGAGTGTGGCATCACCCCTCTGGGCGCATCCCTGGAAATATTAGTGATTGATAGACCATCTATGGTCACCTAATCCTGGCTCGTGGCTTTAAAGTCATCAATTGAAGGCGCGGACTCACAAAGCCTAGCGGATGCGAAAAGTACGGGAGGTTCTCGGTACAATGATGCTATCGGGGGCGACTAAGCTGGTCCTACAGTCCAGCAGCATGTGCATGACTCGCATTCTGACGATAACTATTGATGGTGGTTTCTACCCACATTTCTCCCATACATCGCCTGTGTAATAAAACAGTTTGACAATAAACGTTGTGCGTAGAACAGAATTGCTATTTTTTCTCAACTGGTGCTCAGCCACACAGAAGGGGTGGCATAACGAAGCTGCTGGAAAAGTAAATATTGAAGGAGCACCTCAAGTAGATTCACGCAGTTGCTACAATCCAGTGAAACGGTGCGTGGGCTTCAGTCTGGAAGAACTGAAGTGTTGCGGAAACAAAAAATGCCCTTGAAAGGACACACATGTAAGCCGATGGATGTGGCACACTTTTTTATTTGCACTCGTCTAGGCACGTCTCCTCCTTTCTTAGGATAGAAGAAAAAAGGTTTTTGATGGAATTTGATAGATGGTTTCTTCCACTTTTTTTCCACGTCCCGTCAACTCGTTATGTACTTTTCTATGATCGATCTCTGGTACCTTTCCTATTTGCTGTGGCTCTACAGAAACAAAAAACAAATACTAAGTTTATAAATGTGTAAAGGAATATAAAGTGGTTCGTTTCGCCAAGAATCACAATGTTTCTAAACTGAATACGGGCAGAAGTGTGGCAAGATTATCTTTGTAATCCACATGAGCGTTGAAGGCAGCGATCCATCAAAAGATGCTGTTAATATAACAGAGTAGAGTTTCAAAAAAGTGCGGCAGTTACAGAGAAATCATGAAGGCGCAATATCTTGAGAAGTGAGGCTGATGCTGCTACGATACGTAGTGCTGCTATCCTGCTATCCCTAGGTCTGCCTGTTTGTGTGTGTCGCGAAATTCACAGCGTATGGACCAGCAGTCATCAGGAGCTAGTTCTAAGATATGATATACGGGGTGGGACGGGAACAATTTTGCGGGGGACAGAAGGATAACAACTGATAAGATCCGATAAGGGGCGCTAGAACGTAAGTTTCATGAGATCCATAGTGCGCGGCTCAGCAGCATTGAGGCGTTGTCTTTAAATATGATGTAGAGAATGGGACGAAACATATTGGGGGGGGGGACCAGAGGGTGATGACAGCCGATAAGGTCCGATAAGGAGCGTTAGAATGCCAGTTTCAAAAAATTCATAGCGCGCGTTCCAGCAGCACCGAGGCGCTGTCCCTCAGATATGTTATAGGGGCGGGACGGCGGGGACGACAGAGGGTGATAACAGCTGATAAGTTTTGATAAGGGGCGCTACAGGCAAGGTCACGAGAACCATGGGGCGCGTTCCAGCAGCATTGAGGCGCTGTCCTTCAGAGATGATGTTGAGAGTGGGACGGAAGCATGTATGTGGGGAGCAGGCAGAGAGTGATGCCGATTCAACCCATTCGCGACAATGTCATTCAGGTGGCTGACGCGAAGATGCTCACTTGGGATCATGGCAGCCACCGGTGGCTGACGGGCTTTAAATGGAGTTTGTGAAAACAAAAGGTCTTTGGGAGATTTTCTTCGCTGTGAAGAATTTCCATACCCCCATCTATCTAGGCCACCCATGGGCAGAGGAAATCTCTATCCACTAAAATTTAATACAAGAAAGAATATCCTGACTTCAAAATTTCGCTGAAAAAGTTGAAAACTTTTCTTTCGCTGAAACTTCTTCCATGGGGGTTGTCGAGGGTCCTGATCTCGAACATGAAAACCATTTTCAACGCTGGCGCCAAATTGGCGCCATTTGGCGCCAGATAGCTTCCCGACTGAATTTCACCAATTTTGCTGTAAACTTGTACATAGGTTTTATTTGAGGCCCTGATTACCGAAATTACATTCGTTTTATTCGTTGTGGCTATTTCCTGCTCGCCTAATCTTTCTTGCATTCAATCAGGACTAACAAGGGAGGTCGTTCAGGATGTGAAAAGTTTTTTCAAAACGGTTTTCTGTATGAGCTCACGCGTAGACTATAATAGACATACATATATCATATATATATATTTATATATTATATATTAATTATATATATCATATATCTATATATATAATATATATTGATATATATATATATATATATATATTTAATATATATATAGTAATATATTAATATATATATTTATATATATATATATATATATATAGAATATATATATTATAATAATTATATATATATATATATATATATCCAAGATTAGTCCTCCCGTCAACCGTCGGGACCTTCCTTTAATGCGCAAGCTTTCTATCCTCCGCTATGGTCCCTTCCTCTGTGACACCAACACCTCCTGGAAGTGACGCATATGCAACACAATGGTGTTTTCATACAGTAGAAGGGACACAATCATGATATGACGGTAGATTTTTCGCTTGCCTTCCTCATCCTCCCTTCCTCTTTCCACTGCCTCTCCAGCTGCCACTGCAGCACCATGTGGAATGAACGGAGTGTGCTAAGCAGGTGTTTATATTAGCCCTAAGAGTGTTATCACAACTATCCTGCTACAAAACATTGATATCTCAAATCCTGTAAGCTACACGAACCTGTTAGCGGTTTGTTTATCCCATGAGCTTCCTTATCACTCACTTCATTTTGCGGACGGCACACATACATACACACGCACACACACACACGCACACACACACACATACAGATACACAACCGACACACAAAGTTAGCGCTTTATATAATAGAAGGATACCAGTCGGCGCTGCACGCCTTGCGCGCGCAACACAGATCTGCGGCGAATTTTGATGGTGCGACGAAAATTTTCAAATTTAACTTATACACTACAAATATCTGAATTTGCAGCAAATTCCATCCGCTCCATCATCGACGGCTTTCAACCTCTTTTCTTCGTCAACCATTATTCTCTTTTTCTCGGTCTCCGGACTGCTTCCGGACAATAAATCTCGTGGCAAACTCCGCCTACTTCCGCTCCGCCCACCAATAGCATTTGGCCCCCTTCCTTTCGCTGACCTCTACCCCTTTTTTCACCGGTCTCTGGGACCTCTTGGAAGCAGCTAATCACTTTTCCCTCGCCAACCTCGAATCCCGTTTTCCCTATCTCTAGAACTTCTTGCAGCCGAGTAATGAACTTTCGTCGCGAACTCCGCCCACTTTGGTCAAACCCCGCCCACTGGTGATAGCTGGGCTCCACTCCTCCACCCACCTCCATCCACCTTTTTCCCTGCCTCCGGGACTTCTTGGAGCCGAATTACAATTTCGGCGCAAACTCCGCCCATATTAGCGCACGCTCCACCAAACCGTAGCAGTTAACTTCTCTTTCTTTGCTGACCTTCATCCACTTTTTTCCCGTTCTCCAGGACTTCTTGGAACCAAGTTATGAATTTTCCGAGGTAACTCCGCCCAATTTGGCCATGCTCCGCCCCCTAATGGTATTTAAGTTCCACTCCTCCGCTCACCTCTACCCACCTTTTCCGTGCCTCCGGGACTTCTTGGAGCCAAGCCATGAATTTCCGTCGCAAACTCCGCCCACTTTAGTCAAGCCCCGCCCACCGATGAAAGCTGGGCTCCACTCCTTCACCCACCTCCATTCACCTTTTCCCCAGCCTCCGGAGCTTCATGGAGCCGAGTTATGAACTTCCGTCGCAAACTCCGCCCACTTTGGTCAAGCCCCGCCCACCATTGACAGCTTGCCTCCACTCCTCAATACACCTCTATCCACCTTTTTCCGGCTCCCTAAGACTTCCCGACCCGAATTATGAGAGCTTGTGGAAAATGCTGTACACTTCAGAGCGCGCCCCGCCCATTCTGGGCGGGCCTCCGCCTACGTCATGTATGCAGGAAACACCTTAGACATTGCTCCTTTACACCAAATTGTTTTCTGCTCTGTAGGTTTCCCCCAAACCGAGTTATGAAATTTTTCATAAAGCACTGCTTTTTTAGAGAGCCCACAGGGGGTGTGTCTCCCTAATTCGATGTGACTCACCAATGCACACCTTAACCCACTTTTTGGCCCAGTTTCGAGGTCGTTTTGTCACTGAAATCGAAATCTTGGTCTTCGGTACAATTCATTTCGACGCACGCCACGCCATCTGTGGGCGGCGCTCCGCTTAGCTGATGTGTGTTTTGTATTACGTGAGACCCTGTCTACCCATCCAACACTTGAACCGGTCCCTCCAGGTGGATCCCGAGGAGCTAGGGAATTTCGTGACAGACATACAGAACGACACACGACACACGACAGACGAAGCGCTTTATAGTAAGTAGGATACATATACTAATATACCAGATTAGTCCCCGCGTCAACCGCCGGGCCTTCTTTCCTCGCGCAAGCTTTCTATCCCCGCTATGGTCCCTTCCTCTGTGACACCAACACCTCCTGGAAGTGACCGTATGCAACACAATGGTGTTTCATACAGTAGAAGGGACACAATCATGATATGACGGTAGATTTTTCGCTTCCCTTCCCTCATCCTCCCTTCCTCTCTCCACTGCCCCCAGCTGCCACTGCAGCACCATGTGGAATGAACGGAAGTGTGCTAAGCAGGTGTTTTATATAGCCCCTAAGAGTGTTAATCACAACTATCCTGCTACAAAACATTGATATCTCAAATCCTGTAAGCTACCCATCTGTTATCGGTTGTTTATCCCATGAGCTTCTCTCACTCACTTCATTTTGCGGACGGACACACATACATACACACGCACACACACACCACGCACGACACACACACATACAGATACACAAACCGACACACAAAGTTAGCGCTTTATATAATAGAAGGATATATCGACATAGATTCCTTAACAGATGTGCTTTAGAATGAAGTGAGTGGAAATGTAGAGTCATTCGTGGCTATTGACAAAGATACGGGGTATCTGGAGAGCCTCAAAGAGTTATCTACATCGAAGCAGGTATATACCATAGAAGGAGGCGAAATTCGAGGCGGCGTGAGTTTTACCTTTTTTATATGTGCTCATTATCCACAAAAATAAATTTGTACTCAATACTCTGAGGACCAAAAGCATTTCTATGATTTCAAATTACCACTGTCCATTACCCGCGTGTCTCACTGGTAGAGAGTGCCAAAGCTCTTAGCGGCTAGCGTCTAAGTAACGCTTTTTGAAATAGGGAAGCGAAGGGACCTCTGCACTTGCGTACCCAGGCCTAGCCACAGTAGAAGCTCACTAAGGTCTGAGTCCAAACTTTGCCTTCGAAACCGTACCATCCAGCCCAGTGATCACTAGCATGAAGCACAGGTACGGAATAGTACTTGATTAGATAACCCGAATGCTTATGGCTACCGATTTGGTGCATTGTAAGGCCTATGTCAGACTCTGCGAATCCCGCGATTCGCTACTAGCGATTCACTAGCGTCTGCGGTCGCGTTGCGGTGCCAGCCAATTGAGTGATCCACAGGCCGCGACGCGACCGCAGACGCTAGCAATCGCGCGATTTGCAAAGTCTCACATCGGCCTAACTGATGGCGGTGTTTTAAAGTCATTTGTTATGCACCGTTCTAATTAGCACGTCTTAGCTCTGAATAGTCAGTGAACTCGCATTCTGTGAACATCACTGCAACCATGGCACCGATTACCGAAACTTCTTTTTAACCTGTATCAGTTTTCCTTTCCTGCAGCCCATCATTAGTTTCTCTGCCTATCCAGCATAACAGTCCTAGCACTCTACTATCTCGGTTAAAGACGATTGGGCCGTACGCATCAATGCAAAATTCACAGATGAGGGCAAGACTGGACTGTTTGGACATAAATAGGCATACTCCTGTAGAGCTCTCACTTTGCAATCAAGGCGCGAAAAACAATCGGGAGCTGGACGATTCATAATTTACTTGGAAAGATTGAATCCGTTGGTGTTTCCGAAAGTGCTGACGATGCGGATGCACAAGAGCATGACGTAGGCCTCTGAAGCATCGCTCCCGAAAAGAAGCACTTCTGTGCTTAGCGGCTTGTTGACGATTCATTCGTATTCATTCAAATAGGTTGGATTATTGCTGCTAGCGGACGAACCTGGTAGGAGCCTTTACAATCTGATTGCGCTGATCGTTCAGCCCAATAACTGTGGCCCTTCCAATTCGCTATTTATACGTTTCAGCAACAAATACGGTAAGAATCTTCTTCTTCTTATTCTTCAGCGTTTCTCCCGCTTGTTGGCGGGGTCCGCTTTTCTGATGTGCTGTCGCCACTTTTCCCGATTAAATGCTTGATCAGGGTGAATGTTAACCAACTTCAAGTCTGCGTGAAACCTATCGAGCCAGCGCTGTTTCGGGCGCCCCTTGGGCCGCTTTCCGTGCACTTCTGTGTTGAGGCCGGTCTTGCGAACACTGTCATCATTTCCGCGAAGAACGTGCCCAAACCAACGAAGCCGAGCTTCGCGCATTTTGGCAGCAATGGGAGCTACACCAAAGCGTTCTCGTATGACATCGTTCCGGACGCGATCTAATCGCGTGAAACCAGCCGTCCAGCGCAGCATCTTGGTCTCAATTGCACCGAGGCGAGTTTCAGTGTCTTTGGTCGCTGGCCAGCACTCAGCGCCGTACAATGCCACGGGTCTTATGACTGTCCTATAGATCTTCGATTTTAGGCGTTCTGGGATTTTCTCGTCAGAGAACTCCCGTCATGGAACGCCACTTGGACCAAGCCGCGCTCACACGCGAGTTCACCTCAATACTCATATTTCCATCAGACGCAATTGCTGTTCCAAGGTACTTGAATTTCGTTGCACGTGTCAGCTCTATTCCACTTATTTTGATAGAACCGCACTCGCTCGTATCGCTTGTCAGGCACTCAGTCTTCCTAACGTTCAACCTGTGTCCGAACATCGCTAGGCGATCGCACCATGCTTGAGCTTGTTGTTCGAGTAAGTTTTTGTCTTTGTAGTGGAGCATCACGTCATCAGCATAGAGAAGCGTCCATGGAGCCGGTATCTGAAGATCTCTTGTGATGGCATCCATGACGACAACAAAAAGAAGAGGGGAAAGCGCAGAGCCCTGATGTACCCCAACAGAGATGGGGAATTCCGTCGAAATGCCAGCTGACGTTTGCAATCGGCTCCTTGGGCTTGAGTAAATCATGCAAACCCACTCGATAAGCTCTTCCGGGACGCCATGTTGTCGTAAGGCGTACCATATTACTTCACGTGGAAAACAAAAGCCTTTTCCAAGTCTAGAAAGGCAAAATGCACCGGCTTCTGTTTTTCACGGTGCTTTTCTAGCAGAAGACGAGCGGCGTGTATGGCATCAATGGTGCCGCAGCCAGTCACGAAGCCGCATTGGTTCATGGTAAGCTGGACTATGTCACGAATACGGCGATCTACAATTCGTTCGAATACCTTCATGCTGTGGGAGAGCAGACAAATTGGTCGGCAGCTCGAGCAATCTGCGGGACTCCCCTTTTTCTTCCAAATCGGGATCGTCGTACTCTGTTGCCAACTCTCCGGCACTTTCTTTTCTGCGACGACTTGGTTGAAGAAGTTCGTCAGCCACTCTGCTGGATTCCAGCACTGTGACTTCCACAGATCGGCCGCCAAGTCGTCGTGACCTGTTGCTTTACTTGTCTTCATCTTCTTCAAAGCCGCCCCTGTTTCGCTCACAGTTATCTTCGAGACAGGGCCGTGGACCGGAGCAGCAGAAGGTACTGGCTGGTGTGAGAATTCCACTGTCGAGAATTTCTCGAAGTAGTCGTGCCACCGCTTCACAGCCCTCTTGCGGTCCATTACGAGTCGCCCGTTCTCGTCATTGATGGCAAAGAACTTCTCGATATCTTCGGTCTGGCGATGGCGAGCCTTGGCTAGTCTGTAAATATAGCGTTCGCTGTCGCGCGTTTCGAGCTTCTCGCTGACGCCATCGAGATGAACTGCTCTAGCAACAGCCACAGCTTTCTTTGCTGCCTTCTTCGCGCTCTGATAGTTGTTTCAGTTATCGCTTGACTTGTCACCGAGGAACACTTGGTAGAGCCTTTTCTTCTCCCGTACTTTTTCTCTGACATTGTCGGTCCACAGCCATGTCTGCTTGTCAATCTTCCGCCGCCCAGGCTTTGTAATGCCAAGCTCGGAGCGAGCAACACGGACTATCGCTTCTGTGGCATATTTCCATGTTTCGTCGACAGTCGTTACTGGCGGTAGCTGAATGCGACTGAACAGAGCGCATTCCTTTCCTTTCAACCGCCACCACTTGATCCTTGCAGGCCCACACCGTTCGGCTTTCATGGTCTTTGGAGGGGCAATCTTTAATGTGCAAATCAGTGGTCGATGTTGCGTAGCGACTGTCTCGTACGGCACTGTCTTCGCGTCCGTCACTAGCCCACGATCACGTTGCGTGACAAGAACGAAGTCAATCTGAGTTCTGGTATTACCGCTGTAGAACGTGATGAGGTTTGAGTCACGCTTACGATAGTTTGTGTTCACGATGGTGAGATTGTGAGAGCTTGCATATTCAAGAATTCGCTCACCATCGGCGTTTCGTGACCCATAACCAAACGCACCATGACAACTATAACCATCTTTCGCAGATCCAACGTATCCATTAAGGTCACCTGCGACAGTGATAGCGTCCTCCGATGGTACCTCAGCTGTTTTGTCATCTAACAGGGCCCAGAACTCGTCCTTGGCTCGATCGGAGCAGCTAGTCTGTGGAGCGTACGCAGAAAAGATGTGGTATCGACGCTGCTTCATAGCAACAACGATCTTCATCAAGCGGTCATCGTAACGTTCGACATTCGCAATAGAATCGCGGAAACGTTCAGAGACGACTACACCGACACCGCTGGTTGTCCTGGGACTGCCACAGAGAACGACTTCGAAGCCGCGGCCAATGTCCCTCGACTTACAGCAGGCCCACCTCGTTTCCTGCACGGCACAGAAATCGATTCTTCTTCGCTCCAGTGCTTCTACCAACTCGCACGAGCGACCTGTCAATGTGCCAACATTCAATGTTGCAACGCGACTTCCATACGTTGCGGAACTTTTACGGTACGGTAAGAATCTATACGGTAAGAACCTATCGTAGACAAATGAGGTGGCGCCAATAGTCGGGACGGCGCCGTCTTTACAATCACCATAATGTAGTTTTAAGGGTCCCTAGAAGCTTTGTTTGTGCACTCTTGCATTGATAATCGAGATACTGTACCTTGTGTAAGTTCACTCTTTGAGTGAGTAATCTGAACCTATTCAATCATGGCAAAAGCTCTTGTCATCAGCTACTTGCTCTTTCTGGTTTTTGTTTACCTTCTGTCATGTACGCTGATGACATCTAGGATTCCACTCTAGAACACAAGAGTGAATTGAATAAAATTGATAAATGAATTGCCGGTAAAGTAAAGGATTAAGACTGAGTCAGATTCACAATGAAGGTGGGGATGCGAAATAGTAAACCAGTGGCGAGATAAGCGAAGAATTTCATCGAGAACAGGACAGGACCCTTTGGTCTCTGAGAATAGGCGCCAGCAACCAAGTAGTGTATCATTGCACCTATCCAAACCAATACCCACCATCATGTCAGCAAACACTGGCGGAGGTAGAGCAAAGAAAAGGTTGAAACCCTAGTGTGCGGCGATTCACCCTACAAAAGGCCACGCATCGTACCCTTCTACTTCTGGCTACTGCTTGCATTTGTGCACATACTAATCTCATGCGAAACAAGCAATTTGTTTTAACCTCTCTTTTTGAGGTAATGAAAGCAGTACGAAAGACATCGTTGAAACTGATTTTACATATATCGAAAGTAATGACCGCAAAAATAATTATAAATGACCAAGAAATATTATTTCGGTAACTAGCCTAGTCTCCGGTAGATGAGCCCGCGGCGATGTCGCGTAAAAATGCCTCCGCTCGTGCAATGCAGTTTTGCACACCTTAGAAATACCGTAAACTTGCCTATAGAGATAATTCGGTGCCCAGATTACGAGCATTACTTTCATATTTAGCGGTGGCGTCAACTAGCGACAGTGTCACCTATTCACGACACCTGTTTTCACTGAATTTGGTGTGAACTTCCGTATAAGGGCAGTCCTGATTACGAATATATAATTCACTCTCGGCGATGAAGCTAGCTGGCGACCATTTCCTGCTCGTCTGCGCCCTCCAAGGAGAAATATGTGTTGAACAACGTTAATGCCGAAAACGAATGTTATATTCGTAGTAAGGGCACCAAATAACCCCTGTACAGAAGTTTACACCGATTTTGGTGAAACCAAGGGTCGTGACAAAGTGACGCCAAGTGGCCTCAGAAAGCGCCTTCGCTTGAAAGGAATGTCGTATTATCACCATATCGGATTACCTATGGGCAAGTGCGGTTGTCTCTAGATGTACGCAAGTGCACTGCACCATGGTGGTGTTTACGTGATACCGGCGCCGGCTCATCTACCGGAAATCAGGGTATATTCTACGAATCAGATCATCTTGAGCTGGATAAAATGTTCACTTTTACAGCTTATCGGGACGAGGGTTGTTGATGTAATCAGACGACAATTTTGCCTAGTTCATTGAAGCTCATCACAACAAGGTATCCTGAAAATAAGTTTATTACTGGTGATCCATTGTATTTTCTTTACCAGTTTATAATAAAAATGGATACCTATGGATGTATTGGCCTTTTTCTACTCATATTACTTTGAGAGGAGTGTCTTTAAAGCAGTTTAGCTCCGCACGCTACCGCGCACATGACACGGTAGGCTTTGTAAAAAGATGGGTTCCACCACTAAAGAATGCAACACTCACTAAAGTTGCATCGTGAAATGCTCTGATTGACCTTTCCATAATCTCCCCGTATTTGCTAAAGCTCACCATATGTACGCGCGATACAATGAAGAGCTAAAGTGGTGCATGTAAACCACCATGTGGGACAGGAAGTAAGCAAACCAGCCCTTCTGGCGTTTAAGCTGGGGCCCTATGCTGAATGTTCGGAGGATGAGGTCCCCGACAGTCGACGGACTGTTTCAACTCGGTCCTCAAGACCGCCTCAATTTGATGCTTACCTCAGGGCTAAACCTAGAAGAGAGGACAGACCGACCACTCTCCAAGGCCTTGTTCGCGGGCAAGCAAACGAGCCCTTTCGGCGGAGCTGCTGGACTCAACTCCACCACTTCGTCATCACTTATACCGTACCGACAGAGTCCGTCGACCCCGGAAACCCCATCCCCTCCCCAACATTCGGCATACAGTCCCAGCAGAGACGCTAAAAGGGCCGCTTTGCTCACCTTGTTGGACAGCGTTAGCGTGAAAGAAGGCAACAACGATGGGACACTCTACGCGCAAGTGAACGACGGAAACGGGGTTTCTTTTCTCGGACTCTAGATTATTTTCCTTGGTTTTTCTTCATCCCTACATCACTGACCACCTCTGCGTTGATTTAAAGTGACCTTTCTTCTCTTCGTAAACTTCGCCTCTATGGCCGCTTTGTAGATATGTAATATCTGCGTTTATTATAGAAAACCCTCGTCAACAATGCCATTATGTTGGCCTTGAGCCTTCACAGCATGCGATATTTCGTTTAAAGGAAAGCAATAATCTGAGAAAGAAATGATGAGTGTTTACCCAATTTTCTTTGAACACAGTCGAATGCAATCAGCTGTGAGTCGCAACACTGATAGGCTGAACTCATTTGGGCAGTATCGAGCACCTCCACAATCTAGTGAAAGTCAACCTTGTCCAAGTGGATGTCGAATGAGTTGCATCATTCTTATGAGGAGGGCCAAAGAACGTTACTAGCTGTTTTTCGTGGTCTTTCGCGTCAGAGGGAGTTTTTGGCAGCCAAAAGTGACTTGCTACAAAAGCTGAGGCTGCTTCTAAATCATATCTGTGCGCTAATGGATCCAAAAGAAAGAGCTGGTAACAAAACCTTTCGTAAGTAATTAAATTCCGAACTTCCGTGCAGGTTGAGCTGTTCGTTTCCCTGGACCACTCAATCAAGAGAGTCAAAGACTACGTTCGAGAAGAAACTTCTGTAAAAGAGGTTCTCATCAATCACATTCCTCCAAAGGTTCTGGAGGAACCTACCCCAAAAAAATACAATGCAAAGTAGACGAAAAGCAGGTTTTTCTAAAGCCACGAGTTGGGATTAGGTCCCAAAAGCTCGTCCCTTCCAGAGCGAGAAAGAGTTGTACTCGGAGGCACGGCACTGTTACTCGAAAGTGCGAGGGAACGGAGCTAAGGCCCTGTCTTGTGTGCTGCCGCGCTACCATCCTTACGCACCCTCTAGCGCATGACTTATCCCGCGTTTTCACTCTCCTCGGAGCGCTCGTTCTGTCTCTCCGTCAAACCACGGCCGGCCTCATAAGGTTGATTTAGTGTTCTCCATGGAGCTTTTTGCTTTTTCTTCTCACTGATGTTCCTAATTGTATTCTTGCCTAAGTTCCAAACAAATTAAAGGCACGAGTTGGGATTGAGTTGATGTGTTATTTTGTAGGAACATTAGTCAGTGGGTGCAATGAGGAACAATAGTGAGGAGAAAAAGCAAAAAGCACCATAGGAAACACTAAACTTCCCCTAGGAGGCCGGCCGTAGTACGATGGAGAGACACAGTGCTGCGAGGAGAGGGAGAACGCGAGATAGTACGTCATACGTGAGACACGCAGAGACCACGTATGCCGTGGTGGATTACGCTGGCAGCGCGGGCAGCGCGGCGGGCAAGGCCTTAGCGCCATTGCTGCGCACTTTTGGGTCGCGATAGTGTCGCACCCTCAGTGCTTAGGGAGCTCACTATCACAGCCTGGGAGGAACTCCTGCTGGTTGCCTAATCCTGACTCGTGGCTTTAACGCATCAGTTCAATCCCGACTCGTGATAGAAAGGTTCTACTTATTTATGAGCGAGGCTCGAAATGATACACAGGTCAATGTGGGAACGTGTACTCCGACGACAGTCACCGCCTGCTCTACTGATACCATCCTTAACACGGCTGACGCGCATGCGCGTCACAACGATGTCATTCGCTTTTATCGTGACTGCGCTCCTCCTCCTCCAGATTTTGTATTCATTCTAATACATTAGCATAACTATAAATTACATGGCTGCCAGAGCGTGCTAATATGGCTTGACTTAACAAAGATTTTCTAATTTCTCAGAATTTTTCCTTTTTTCCTAGTTTTCCTTACACTGTCGTAAACATTCCAATAAATGATTGTAGAAGAAGTTAGTACCAAACTCTGTGAGCTTATAATTGTACTTAATGGAAAAACTAAGGTATGCAAGGGTGGCCAAAAAAAGACCTCCATGTTCCAGACAGCACCAATCACACTTTGCTAATCTCAAACAGACTGATATCAAATTAATATTTTAGAGCACATCCCAACCTATCGATAAACCTTATAACAGCTCTCTGCACCAAAGACATCACAGGAATTTGCCATGGGAACCTTATGCGCGGTTTGAGCTCAACTGGTCGTCATCGGATCATGGACCATTACGACGTTGTTTGGAGCGCTGGTTGGGATAGGTTTTGCATATATCGAGCTACTATGCCTAGGAGGCAATCTGTTAGGGAAACGATTGAAGTACATTCGTGGCAGCTTCAGATTGGAACGATTGCGGTAGGCTTTTGAGCTCAACCATGATGGAAGATGACGTCATACTTTGAGGACGGCGAGGACAGTAGAGGAGGGCCTGCTTCCGCTTATGGGGGGACGTGTAAGGGATATTTTGTCGTACAACTTTCATCAACATGCGCACCCACTGCGACAAAAAGTTTGGTGATGTGCGCCATAGGCAAAGTGTCTCTTTTTTTGACCGCCCCTATATATGCTTGTTACTTCATTCGTAGCGAAAGTGGACGTTTTTTGTTTTTCGTAGTCATATGTGTTGTTCCAAATCAAATTCTATTGCAATTTGTATAGGTTACCACTACGAGTTCATCCTTGCCGAAATATCTCTGAGAGGTTGAAGTTGTTGGGCATTTTACACAGGAAATAAGCGGAAGTAAGGTGAAGAGGGCGCGTTCGCAAAATCGCTCCTGTCCCACGCAATGCAAAATGCGAAAACACGCGATGCCGTCAACGTGTAAAAAACCCTGACACCTTGCGACACATTTCCTCGAAAAAATGCAGTGCACTCTAGTCCAAGACATAGGATACTTGCACGTACCGAAGAGCAGATACCAAAAATAGGGATGAATATCGTTACCGAAACTTCTCGCACCCAGCGTCACATCGACGTATGCTGTGCATCGCCTTCCTAGGACGCTTATGCGTAATTTGGACCTTGAAAGTCGATGATCGGCATCACCTTGAAGATGGGACAAGTCGCATTATCTTATCGTGGCCATCGGAGTGCTTAGGAAAAAGAATCAACAAGTTTCCAAGAATAGCGGTACAACATCATTCTGAACATCTGTGGCATTATCTTTTGGTTGAGGGACGGATGTGATCAGCTGGTTGCAACGGGCGCTGTTCAGCCAGCACGCGATCCTGGGATCAAATTCTGGCTCGGAAGGCAAACTTCAGGCAACTCAACTCCTCCATCGCACTAGGGTTCCTTGTACTAAGCTTCCGCGAGAGAATGAAACCTGCTTTGTACATCAGCTGGCGTCCGCTGTTCATTTATATCTATACGGGGGGAGGGCAATGAAAAGAAGACATTGTGTGAAAAGGATACACCTCAGAAAACTTTTCTGTGACCCATTTCTACTTACAAGTCTTTGGAAGTAATGTCTTTCTGCTGGAATCCATGAGTGACATCTGGTCCTTACCTGACTTACCTGTTCCAAAGGGTGTCGGTATACTCGTGTCCCGAAGTTCAGGCAGGCTTCCCATTGCACCTATAGTAGTGCTAGACGTGAGCAAACCAGCCCTTTTGGCGCTTCGGCTGGGACCGTATGCTGAATGTTGGGGAGGGGATGGAGTCCCAGACGGTGGACGGACTACTTCAACTCGGTCCTTAGAACTGCCACAATTTGGTGCTAACCTCAGAACTAAGCTTTAAGAGAGGACGGGTCCGTCCCCTCTCCAAGGCTTAGTCCTGAGGTGAGCAAACCAGCCCTTCTGGCGGAGCTGCTGGGCCAGCTGCACCAAATGCGTCTGTACTCTCCTATCGTACCAACCGAGTTGAAAGCAACAATCCAGGAACGAATTCGTGGGTAAGGACGCACCTATAGTGATCAAGTCTGCATGTGAGAAGTTGGTCAAATGGAGAAAGAGAAAAGTAGAAAAAAAACGGTCGGGCAGGGGCTTAGACAGGGACTCCCCTGCCGTTTAGGAGACGTGCGTTGGACGAGTTGTCCGAAACTGCGCTAGTACATCGCGCTTTCCCAATTGCTCTGCTGGCAAATAGGCCATGCATGCTGCAAATACATAACTATTTGCCAGCAATTCGAAAAGTGAAGCGCTTAAGTTGCGCTCTCATGGAATCGACCTGATACAGACGCGGCGGTCCCGCAACGACCGCTATTCGAGCAAGCGCTCCTTCACAGCACCAAAGAGGCGGGTCAACCGAGGCTCGGTGATCGCGCCCTTTTCGACGAACTTCAGCCCTTCTCACGCATTTCAGAGCGTGAGTTTTACTTCAGTGACAGTTCCTTGCGACTTCGCTTGGGCTAGGGCATGCTTCCACACCTCTTTTGGATTAGTTGAAACCCTCCCCGGACTGTTGCTTGAAGTAAACCGTCGACCGTTGGGACCCCATCCCCTCCCCAACATTCGGCATTACGGTCCCAGCCGAAACGCCAAAAGGGCTGGTTTGCTTACCTCGTAGTGCTATGGGCACCATTGCCGCCATGGTGCAGGTAGATATCTGGATTTCACTCGAAGTACACCCTATTCTGAGAGGTTTTTCCTTGGTTCCTCGTTAGCGAGCCAGCAGTGCTAATTTTTCCGCGTGCGGTGCTATCCTTTTGAATACAGAAAAGGAATAGGGTACAGGAAGTCCTTTCAATACGTAGTTTAACAGTTCTGATAAAAGAGAGGATACGTCCTCATTGACTAACCACAGTGTTTTCTATTGTTACTTTCTTTGTAGGAGCGTCAGCTGCACGCACAAATAAATCAATAAAATAAATAAATGTCTTCACATTGAAGTGAATTGAATCACATTTGCAAATTCGAAACGAATGCTCCCATTTTGAACATTGAAAACCTTACAGAGGTCTTCTATGTAGACGGAATCAAAAAATCTCCTCGGAAACATGGTGCACTGGTCGAGATCTCGTAATGGTACACGACCCGTCGAGGTCCTCGACGGGTCGTGTACCATTACGAAGATTTCGGAAAAGCGGAGGAGGTTTACGAAGTCATTGCTGAGGTATCAAGAAACTGTCTGACAGTGGACCGATTCAAGAAACTGTCCAAGAGCTCCATGCTCGAGCCGTTAGGCCTCCCGACGATGATGGCAGATGACGGCATGTTCTGAAGAGGGGGTGGCAGTGAATGTGGGCTTGCGACTACTAAGAGAGAGAGAAATTTAAGGAATATTTTGCTGAAAAACTTCCGTGAATGAATGCAATCTAGCGACGAAAAGACGCAAAAGTGCACCATGAGCAGAAGCCTTCTATTGTTTTCTGTTTGTTTTGTTTGGTTCTTTTGCTCTCCCCACCCCCTATAAAACCACTTTCAAAATGCCGCAACAATTTTTGATTGAAGTAAAATGCGAGAACCATAGCAGAAACAGATTGATCCGAGCAGTCATAGTGTACTAGCGCATCTTATCAGCCATTATCAGTTGCTATCGCTTCCAATCAAGTACCACCAATGTCCCGGGGCTGCTCCTCACAAGACTTGTAAGTATAGACGCTCTTTTACCAATATGAACGACAAAACGAAATTGGCGATGCTCGCTTTTTAGCCCCTCTTATCAGCTATTATCAGTCGTTATCAGCTCCTATCGTATACCACTTGTGTCCCCATCCCTCCCCCTATAACATATGTAAGAACCACTGCGCTATGGTTCCTGTGAGCTATGAAGTTCCGGTCAAACACACACCAACAGACACACGCTAAGCCGCATATATGGTTGTCTCATAATTAACTGTCGACAATCTCGACATATTGTTTATTCAAGTTTTATCTACTCGGAAAGAACTGACTAATTAGATAACC